ACCCGCATACATAATCGAACACCCCCCCCCCCCACACTTAAGCACGACATTGTCCTCAATGGAGGAAAGATAAGGAGGGTAGAACGAAGTTACCAGATCAAGGGTGAATGATGATGTACGGGTAAGGCAGTGCATTCCAGGAAGAGAGAGTAATCAGAACACAAACACCACACAAAATCTCACAAAGGTTGAGTTATTGACTCTAAAATCAAATAACAAAACTGACTCAACCGAGGAGAAATAGAGAAAGAAATGCAAACCGACTGGTTGGGTTGCCTCCCAACAAGCGCTTCTTTCACGTCGTGAGCCGAACGATGGCTCCTAAGTTTCGGTCCATGCTAGAACCTCCTTGAAGTTGAGGTTCTCGTCAATGAGGTGGAGTCTCAAGTCACGAGCATGTGGTGTGGCAGGTGATGAAGGCTCATGTACTTGATGCAGATGAAGTCTCCACCCTCGAGACCTCTTCTTCTCTTCTCTCGTCTCATTGCCCCAAACTAGATATGACAGCATCGATTGGCCACCATCGTGTCCACCAAGAGGGACCGATGTTGATGTGGCCTTGGTCTGGCAAAAAGACACTGCAAATGGGTCCTTGCCAAGCAGCTCCTCGAAGTTTGGTGGAGATATCAAATGTAACATAGGGCCGGTGCAAGCCTCTTCCACCTCAACTTCATCCTCAGCCTGGACGCCAATTGCTTCCTCAACCCCCCTTTCTTCTTCAAAATGTGGTCTCACCCCTGGGAAAAGATCAAGAACCATCTCTTCTTTTCTTTCTTCCTCATCATCCACAACTTCCTTCCTCATCCTTGCTCGCTCTTCTTCTTCTAGAACAGATTGGAGAGCAAGTCGCCAAGCAATTTCTTCAATGGGATCATCTTGCATCTCCTCGCACGGGCCCAGCATGTTAGAGCATAAATGAGGAAAGGTGTGGTCTGCAACCAAAGGACTTTCCTGATCATGATTATCATAAGAGTTCTCTGTGATAACTTCTGTATGCTCCTCAACGCTCCCATAGCCTTTGTCATCCTCCACCTCTTCTAGCGTGGTAGCAGAAAGGTGATCTTGGGCAATATGCGAGCAAACTTGCTTCACCCACTCTGTTTGCTTCGCTGAGCGCTGAACAGTCTCCTCCATATCATGGAGAAATGAGGGATCGGAAGTGGCAAGGGCTTTGATTTGAAGATCCATCTTGGAGCATGATTTCTCAGTGTCTCGAGCAAACTGCTCCACGAGAAGCCTTAATTGTTTGTTCGCATCTTCCAGTGAAGTGTAGCATGGCTCTGCAGAGTGGCCCGTGAAGGCCGCCATGGGTAACTCAAGATCTGATGGCCCTTCTTGTTGTGGGAGGAATTCTTCTTGATAAGAGATTGTTCTTGATATGCCCAGGGGTCTGGTTGTTCTCCGTAGAAAGGGGGTTGGTACTGGAACCCGAATCCATAGTCTTCTCCTCCTTGATTGCTCCAGGGAGTCTCGGGGTAATACCACTCAGATGGTGGTGGATACCCCCACTGGTTGGAGAAGCCATGCGGATCCATGATTCAGATCTGCACCAACAAAAACAAAAAACACCCAAGTGAAAAGCAAGGGTGGAAAAGAAAAACGCTAAAGTAACAAACTTCTGCCTTTCCTAATACTCTAGAAAGTCCCCGACAACGGCGCCAAAAACTTGATGCTCTAAAACACAACACCTAACAATGGCCAAGTGTAACCAATGGAAGGGACTGCACTATAGTGGCTCAAGTGATAAATATCGAATCCACGGGTCTCTAGAGTTACTATTACTCAGCTTCAGTTTATTATCTAGCAAACTAGATTAAGGATTGATTAACTAAACTACTCTACTAACTAAACTAAGTAAAAGTACTAATTACAGTTTGGGAACTCACTTAGGTATGATTCCCCCTAGCTCCTCAATTAGGTCCAAGTTGTAATTCCTTTTGGTTGATTTACTGTTGATTAGACTGCGGAAGATCCGACAGTAGCTTGGAATCTCTTAAGCTGACCAAGCCCTCTCAGTCTAACTATCCGGCAGACGACTAGTCTTCACCGGGATAAAAAGCTGAAGCAGTAAGAACAGAACTCCACTACTGGAATTGGATTCCAGTACAAAGCAGTAAACTGGCTAACTCTCGTATAGCCAATCTCCTACTACCGAATGATGAGACTCTAGCAACCTAATCAGATTCTATCTATCTCAGATTGCAGCAGGAATCAGGAAAAGTTAATCAGACTTCAATTGACTCAATAAACATGCATCATTCGATTATAATCAAACAATATAGCATCCAAAACTTCATACAAGAAAGATCCTAACTCATGGAACTAAGGTTCCTCAAAACCTAAGTGAAGGGAAGTTACTCCATAGAGAAGAGAGAGACTGCAGAAATATGATCTAGATCTTCAATCTCCATCTCCAAGCTTGATTCCCGAGCTCCAATGGCGAAGAAATCCTCCAAAATAGCTCCAAGAATGTTCCCAAGTCGCTCTCTCTCTCTAGGGTTCGTCCATTCTTCTTCAGGTCATACCCGAGTTTCTTCTCCCGAATCGTCAATTGATCTCTGATTGACTTGAAACTTGCGCCTATGCTTCACTTTATGTGCTAGGACCTGAAATGTGACAAAGGAACACAACCTAGCGTAAAATAGGCCAAAGACACGATAATTCAAGCTCAAACAATCAAGAAACAAAGGGGAAAACATGTGCAAATACCGAGTCATCACCTCCCTTGCTTCGCTCCCTCTCCCCCACTTTCCTCGCCCTATAAATTGCCCCCCTCTACCTCCTCTTTCCTCATTATGCCAAATTCGCTCTCTCTCAACTTCCTCTCTTACCTTGCTTTTTGCTGCTCTCAAGTGCTTTTCTTAGCCCTTCGGCCATCTCTCTCGGCCAGTCCCTCGGCCACCGCTGCTAGGCGCCTTCCCCTGCTGTGCAATTGCATCCCCCAACACTGACGCGCCTCTCCTCATGGCCTCCACCAACCAGCCCGGATCCCCAAACGCCGCGCCTGCTGCGCCGCACCTTCTAGTGCCACGCCTTCTGGCGCCGCACCTTCTGGTGCCCCAGCCGCTGCCCCAGGTACCTACACGCCTTGCAACACTCCTTTTTTTATTATACACGCTTGTGTTTGTGCGCCACGCTTCGCGAGGATTGCCGGAAAAATAACCGCTCACCCCCCCCTCCCCCAAACTATTCTCGTCTCTTGAGTGCTCCCCGCCTTTTCATTTGGGCGTCTCCTTTTTCATAGCCTTCCCCCTTGAGCTCCTCTCTTGACCTCCTCCTCTTCTTTTGACGTAGGCACCAGCGCGCCTCGAGAGTACGGGATAAGCCAATGGGGCAACATGTGGCCTCTCGGGTACATGCCCTCTGACATTGACCAAATGTCCGAGGAAGACGCCGGGCCCCCTCACGCGTCCAAAATTTTGTATTCACGCTTCACGAAATTGATCCGGGCGGCGCAGATGCCCGCCGACTGGCGCTACGCCCACCCGTCTCCTATCGCACGCGTGGGAGTCTGTGGAGAAGGATGGATCGGCGTGTACCAAGAGTACGCCCGCTTCGGGCTGCGTTTCCCGATTGACCCCATACTTGAAGGCGTGCTACACGTGTGCCAATGTTCCCTTGGGCGCCTTTCGCCTGTCATCATCCTGTACACAGTACTTTTCCGCCTCAAGTGCCCTCAACATAACATCCTTCCTTCCTTCAAACTCGTTCGCCACTTCTTCAGCATGGTCAAAAGCCCCAACTGCTTCAGCCTGCAAAAGTGCGCGAAGTTGGAGTACAACTTCATAAGTCACGGTAAAAAGATGGGGCGCTCCTGGTTTGAGTCCTTCTTCTTCGTCCGCCCTCGTGACACGCCCTTCTTCGAGAGTGGCGCAGCGCCCCTTACGCAGTGGACTTTCGGAGACGAGGGCGAATTCAACAAACACCCCCCTCTCAACAAAGCGGAGGAGGACATGGCGCGGCCCCTTGCGTCAGTACCAATAAATCTTAAAATTAACGACGAGTATGCTCGTCACTTAGCGGAGTTCTACAACAATGGTAGTTTCCTCGATCCTATTGCATGCGCTTTTTCTCTTTTCTATGCGCCTGGCTAACACCCGTGCTCGATTTTTTTTGCAGGCACTGCCTTCACCAGTGTTTCAGACCTCATCCGTTCGAAGCTCAACCTGATTCCTCCTGCGCCTCGCGCCCGCGGCAAGGACCGCAAGGCACCGTCTGCTTCAACCCAGCCTCCTCTAAAGAAACCGGTGCACGTGAGGATTGTCTCTAATCCCATTGCGCCGGTGAACCGCGCCCCTTCCCTCGTTGTGACCGAAGCGCCTCAGGTGTTCTACAACTCCCCCATGGATCTTGAGGACGGTCCGGGCGCCTCCCCATCGCACCATAGTCAAGGCGCCTCTCTTTCGCCGCGCAGCCAGGGCGCCACGTCCGAGACTCCTACCCGCGCCTCCCAATCCAAGGCCTTGGAGAAAAGGCCTGCCGAACCGCTTCTCTCGACGGCAAAGAAAGCCAAGCTGGACCGAGTGATAGCCTCGTGCGTGCCAGCCAGCTTGGTTATGCCAAGCGTGGGGCAGCATACTGGGAAAATCTTGCCCCCATATTTTTAGCCTCCTTCCCGGCCGTTGGAGAAGGTTGATGTCGGCGTGCCTGTCAAGGCGGCAAAAGACCCGAGCATCGCGATGCAAATGGTGCTTTCTCATGCCGCTGTAATCGATCGCCCCGATCACCTCAAATCCAACCGGCCACTCTGTACCATGGCCAACCTTTCTGTCTAGGTAAGGCGCCCTTCCCTTCAGCTTCGAAAGTTGAACACTAAGTATTTTTGCCAGGTCTGACTTTGTTACATGTGCGAGATGATGATGTTGATCGAATCCACCGCGCGTGAGTTTGATAGGCTGTCCAAGGAGAGCTTGGCTTCCGATGGCGCAACGGAGCGCCTTCGGGATGAGCTGGCGGTCAGTTGACCACTCGAGGCGCGTCGGTTCTCGGAGGAACTGAAGATGACCACCAGGGCCAAGGATCAACACAAGAAGGAGCTGAAGGCGGCTGAGGCGGAGGTTAAGCGCCTCGGGAAGGACCTTGCTGACTACCATAAGTCGGATGTGGGGAAGAACCTCCAGGCGGATAACGTGATTGACACGGTGAAGATCCTTCGTGAGAAGGTCATCAAGGATCATCCGGAGGTGGAGTGGGACTCCATGGCCTTGATCATGCATGTCCTCAACTTTATGGATAGTGGTCGCAAGGCTAGCGAGCTGGAGCCCATTGCAGGGCTGGAAGTCCCCTCGCCGAATGCCGATGGAGAGGAGGCGGATGAGGAGGAAGATGAAGGCGTGGAAGATGATGAAGGCGTAGAGGGCGAGGAAGAAGAAGGTGAAGGACAGGTTGATGGTGAGAAGCGCCTCCCCGAGCCGCAGGGGACGCCCGAGGGTGCGGTGCGAAGCGAGGAAGAGTGACATAGCGCCTTCACTATGCATCCACCAGTTATTTGTTGTTTTCAATTTCCTTAACTTTCGATGTAACCTGCGAACCTCCGCTCCAATGAAATTTCAATATTTCCGAACTATGTGGTGTTTCCCTTGTTCGCCTTCAATCAAGTTATTATTAAGGGCGCGTCTCCTAGGGCGCATTGTGCGCCGGTACTTAGGCATGTGTAAAACAATTCCTTATAGGGCGCGACAAGTAGGGCGCTTCACGATCTCAAGGCGCTAAATTGGGGCGCTTTAATGCAAACGTTGCACCAACACCGGGGCGCAAAAAGTAGGGCGCTTTAACGCGAATATTGCCATGGTATTAAGGCGCAAGAGTAGGGCGCTTTGTAGTACATGTTGTCATAATCTAGTGGCGCAAAAAAGGAGGACGCTTTAACATAAATATTACGTTTTCCTACAACGCGTGGGGCGGCGCGCTTGCAGTAATAGTAATTCTCCTTACACCTACTCGACCGACTCTGGACTACTGGCCAAAAGACAGGCACCACTCCTTGTGCCCCAGGCGTGTTACTCGGAGCTCTCACCTGCCCCCGTTCCATGGTACACTTTGAGGTTATGCGCATTCCCCGTTCGTTTGACGGCCTTCCCTCCAATCCGCTCCAACTTGAACGTGGCAGGTCCTATCACCTCCCGGACGCGGTAAGGCCCCTTCCACTTGGGAGCCAGTTTCCCCTCACACGGCTTTGGTCGGAAGTCGCGCCGTAACACTAGGCTTCCCAGACGTATCTTATGGGGGCGCATTTTACGATTATAGTACTTGGCCACCTGTTGTTTCATGGCTTCGAGGCGCACAGAGGCAATGTCCCTGTGCTCTTCCAGCATGTCGAGGTCGTGGACTCGCTCTCCTTCATTGGCCGATTCCTCATATCTCGCCACCCGATGTGTTGGAAAACGCATTTCCACCGGTATGACCGCCTCGCTGCCATAAGTCAATGCAAACGGCGTTTCCCCTGTTGCCACATTGTGTGTTGTCCTATGCGCCCAAAGCACACTGGGGAGCTCCTCCACCCATCTCCCCTTGGCCTCGAGCAACCTCGTATGAAGCCCATGTAAGATGCTCTTGTTAGCCGACTCTAACTTCCCGTTAGCTTGGGGATAGGCTATCGAGGAGAAGCGTAGGACAACGCCATTCTCATCACAGAACTCGATGAATTGGCGGCAATCGAACTGTTTACCGTGGTCAGCCACAATCGACTCGGGCAGCCCGAACCGGGAGAAGATGTTCCTGTTTGTAAACTTCCTGACTTGAACCTGGGTGATGGTTGCCAAGGGCTCTGCCTCCACCCACTTTGTGAAGTAATCCACTGCCACAATGAGGTATTTCATTTGACCGGGCGCTTTAGGGAAAGGCCCCAGCAAATCCATTCCCCACTACGCGAACGGCCATGCGCCCACATTGCCTTGCATTGGTGCTTGCGGGACGTGTGTGTCGTGGGCGTGCACCTGACATTGATGGCAGCTTTCCACGTGCTTCTTGGCGTCTCGCCTAATGTAGGGCCAGTAGTAACCTTGTCGCAACAGCACCTTCTCAAGGCTCCTTGCCCCAGCGTGCATTCCGCAGGCGCCTTGGTGTACCTCTGCTATCGCCCTTTCGCCTTCTACCTCCGTGAGACACTTTAGGTAGGCCCCCGAGTGCGACCTCTTGTACATCTGGCCATGACTACCCGACAGATGACTAGTCTTCACCGGGATAGAAAACTGAAGCAATTTTGGAAAATCCTTCGACAAACCGTCGATAATAACCAGCCATGCCAAGAAAACTTCTCAACTCCGACACATCTTTTGGTGGATCCCAACTCACCACTGCTTCCACCTTTTTCGGATCCACCTCGACACCTCTTCCAGAAATTACATGTCCTAGAAATATTACCTCCTTCAGCCAAAACTCACATTTTGAGAATTTTGCATATAATTGTTTCTCCCTTAGAATTTGCAACACAAATCTAAGGTGAGTTTTGTGCTCCTCCTCGATTTTATAATAGATGAGAGTATCATCTATGAACACAATCACAAACTTATCAAGATATTCATGAAAAACTCTGTTCATAAGAGCCATAAATACCGCTGGTGCATTAGTGAGTCCAAAAGGCATTACCAGGAACTCATAATGCCCATATCTTGTTCTAAAAGCTGTCTTTGAAGTTGCTCCATCTGCCACTTTCAATTGATGGTATCCAGACCTCAAATCAATCTTAGAAAAGACTGATGCACCCTGCAATTGATCAAACAAATCATCTATTCTTGGAAGGGGATAACGATTCTTCACTGTCGCCTTATTCAACCTCCGGTAGTCAATGCACATTCTCATGGAGCCATCTTTCTTCTTGACAAACAAAACCGGTGCACCCCAAGGTGAGATGCTAGGTCGAATAAACCCCTTGTCTAGCAATTCTTGCAATTGTTCTTTAAGCTCCTTCAGCTCAACTGGTGCCATTCTATATGGTGCCATTGAAATTGGTGTTGTGCCAGGTACCAATTCAATATCAAACTCTACTTCCCTTTCTGGTGGAAGGCCGGGAAGTTCTTCGGGGAATACATCAGGAAACTCCCTTACCACCTCTACATCCTCAACCTTCTTATCATTTACAACAGTAACTTGAGGAAGAAAGGCTTCACAACCTTCCTTCACTAACCGAAAAGATTCCAAGGCAGAAAGAAAACCATGAGTCTCTTTTTTCTTAATGCCTCGAAATACAACAGGACCTTTATCTGGTGTGTTGAATAACACTTCTTTCTTTTGACAATCCACAACAGCTCCATGTGTTGCCATAAAGTCCATTCCAAGGATGACATCAAATTCATCAAAAGGTAGCAAAATTAAATCTGCTGCTAGGAAGGCTCCTTCCACACAAATGAAGGAACTTCTAATAACTGAGTCTACCTTCAAGGTATCTCCCACAGGTGTTTTAACACATAAGGTATAACCTAGCTTATCTGGAACTAAGCGTAGCATATGTGCAAACGTATATGACATGAATGAGTGAGAGGAACCAGTATCGATCAAAGCATATAATTGCTTGCCAAGGATAGAAAGCATACCAGTCACAACTTCTGGTGCCACTTCTGCCTCACCTCGAGTCATTGCATAAACCCTCGGTGCTCCCTGTGCTCTGGTACCCTGCGTACCACTTCCTGATGGTTGATTTCGACTACCACCTCTACCACCCTGTGAACCACCACGACCACTCTGAAATCCACTACGGCCTCCCTGGTAACCACCCCTGAATGGGGCTCTACTAAATTGCACTGAAGGCTCGGACTGTGTAGCTCTTACTTCTCTCGAATGCGGACAATCCCTCATGATGTGCCCAGGTTGGCCACAGTGAAAGCATACACCAGAAAATCTCCTACACTCTCCAAGATGCCTCTTCTGACAAACTTGACAAAATGGAAATTGTGTGGCTGAGGAAATTGGTGTCCTGTAAGATGTTCCTGACATAGATTGACTCGGTGTTCTCCCAAAACTGCTAGGACCTCTCCTGGGTGGGTAACGAGGTCCAGCATAATTTACTCCAAACTTCCTCTTCTTCTCCTCTTCTTTGGTTTTGTGTTCCTCTCGGCTCTCAACTTCATAGGCTTCATACTTAAGTGCTGCCTCCTTGATTGTGGCCATACTCTCTTCATCAACCCTGTGGATCTTTTCTTTCAATCCTATGCGCAGACCATGCAAGTATCTCATCTTCTTCTTATGCTCAGTATCCGCCAACCCATCCTCAAAGTAAAGTAGTCGAACAAACTTGATGGTGTACTCAGTAACTGTCATATTCTCCTGCTTAAGGTTGGAGAATTCATTGTTCTTTGCCCTGATAAAAGCTTCGGGAAGAAACTCTGTCTTAAAGGCCTTCAGGAACTCCTCCCAGGTGAACTGAACTCGTTCACCATTAACTCTAGAGACTGAGGACCACCAGCTCCTCGCGTACCCCTTTAGGAGAAAAACAACATATTGCAATTTTTCCTTTGGGGTCGCATAAAGATACTCAAACACATCTTCCATCTCTCTCAACCACTCTACTACAGCATCTGGGCTCACCTCTCCCTTGAAGTCCCTACCACCCAAACTCTTCATCTTTGCATAATCTAATACTGGCGGTCTTGTATCAACCGCCCCCACTCCTCTCGACTGGTCAGTAGGAACATTTTCACAACTTCCGTGCGAGCTACAAGGAAATATTGGCCTTAGATTGATCCACCCAAAATTCATTCTTCACCAAATCTCTCACTTGGTTAAAACAAAAAAAATTTCCAAAATAATTACTTGAAAACAAATAAGTTCAAAACTCAATTTTGAAAACCATGATACAGGTAATTTCATCCAATATACCAATACACATAATCATGTCAAACTCAATTCCCAGTTTAAGTCATTATGGGGTACTCCCCTCCTTAGGAGTGTTTAACCTCCCATAGGGTATAGTACTCCATAACAGCAAAAAGAGGGAACTGGGCTCTGATACCAAACTGTAACACCCTACCCTATACGTTTTGACTAATCATATTATTCATACAATTGCAGCAGAATTAATCTCGGGTGTTACATTAATTATCAAAATTTACCTAAATAAAATTTTGCCATGAATTACTCGCGTAATGGGCTAACAATTCTTGCAACTTATCCTGCAAAATAATTAATCACAAACATATGTACTCACAACCATATGCATTGGCTTTCATAGCCATAGGCACAGTTTCATACTGCACAACTGCATACCGTACTAATACAAGCCATAATCGTCATAACTTACACAGCCACATAAATATACACATATCATTAACTTTCCACGCTTGTGGATATCTAACACTACATCAGAAGCTAGTATGCACATGAAAAACGTTCTCAAAACATTTTTACAAAAATGTGTGGATCACTGGCCAAAATCCCAAGTAGTAGTCCAAGCACAGAATAGTTGAAGACCATACCTCATCCTGGCTTCAACTCTAGCTCCTCTCCCACCTAACACTTATCT